TGAAGTATCAAACACATGATCTAAAGCTTGAATGACAAGCTGCGTGAACACCACAGTCTACTACTTCGCACAAGTCCTGGTGGGGATTTACTTCTGTTCCACTAAAAGCTGTGGTTGCATTCCTGATTTTAAGTTAAAAAGTATGACTCACACAGGAATGACTCAGACAGAACGTGATATTTTCGAGGTGCGAGCTACGGGGAAAAATTGAGTAACGTGTAAACTCCATTCATACAGTGGATGGTCAATTTTTGTGCGTAACATGACCTTCTTGAGTGATGCTAGGTCTTTCCGTGGCGTATATAGAGTTGTACCACATCCTGCCACAGATATTGAAAAAAATGTCCAAACTCAGCACCAGAAACTCACGCTCAAACGTGCCCGTGGCATTCCTGTTGGAAGCGTTTTGGCGATTCGGTACTTGGCTCACGCCGTGCCAGGCGGACTGTTTTGATTGTATCCGGCCCCACCGCGGTGGTGTAGTGGCTAAGGGCGGCGGCTGCATTTCCGATGAAGTCGGAAATGCTCTAGGGTTGTGTGCTCAGATTTTAGTGCACGTCAAAGAGCCACAGGTGTTCGAAATTTACGGAGCCCTCTACTACGGCGTCTTTCATAATCATAAGGTGATCTTGGGACGTTAAACCTCACATATCAATCAACGGATTGTATCCGTTAGTGGGCGTGGTTTGGTGGCGGCTGCTTCACTATGCACGCGTGATTAGATGAGACTAAACCCAGGTGGTGCGCAGCTGTGGTTTGGCTGTTGCTAGACAAATTCGTGGAAGAGTTTTCGCCGACTGACATTTCACCTCGAGCTTTAGCAGGTTTGCTGTTAAAACAGTGTGAAGTGTCATGCGTGAGTGGAACACTCAGTTTTTCTCACAGATAAAAAATTGGCGTTTCTAAATAGTTAATGCACGTTGTGCTGATATTTCTCTGTTTCATGGCAGTTTACTATTAGTTTTCACCCCTCAGACACCGCTTTGTTAACCTAAAAACGCGTTAACTGGTGGCTCATGCGTGTGTAGGTGTTTTTCAATTCCTGACATTGCCTTTCAAGCCGGTGTTGTCTACGCGCGCATATCTTGCGAGCGAACGAAAGGGCGTGGGCGCATTCGGTTGCCGCGCAATGATCAACGCGCGGCTCTTGCCACCACAGCAAGCGGGAGCTTCTACGAGCTGCGCTCTCAACACACACCACACACACACACACACACACACACACACACACACACACACACACACACACACACACACACACACACACACACACACACACACACACACACACACACCACGCACGCACACACGCACACACGCACACACGCACACGCACACACGCACGCACGCACGCACACACACACACGCACGCACAAAACGGTTCCAAATTGTACCTGGAGCGGCTGTCCCCATAGAGATGCGCTCTACACATAACTGCCACCAGCGGCGACACCCGACGTATAGCCCTTAGTACCAGCATGCGCTGCCCATGGGAGGCGCTTGTTATCAACGCCGTCACTACGCTCGAGCCTTGTTGTGCTCATGTACTGTGGCCGTGCCACAGAAAACTTGGTTACTTAGCAAGCGCATGTTTACTACAGTTATTATTGCTCCTAAAATGCTTGCCTTGCTTCGTAAAACGTTCCAATGTATTGCTATTGCATTCATTACTTCGCCCTTTTGGCGAAACTTGCTTATTTTACTGCCACCACTACTACATAAATCCGTCTTTTGCAGTGGCACTTTAATCGATTTACAATTTTTTCGTGAAGCAGAACATCCCCTCTGCTTTACACACAATAAACCTGTAAAAACTTTGGGACTGAGGCCTTAGTCTACATGCAAGTGGCGCTGAATTCGGAACATAACCTGGGTATTCACTTTTTTGCTAGCCTAGCTCATTCTGTAATGGAGTGAGGAGAACTTATGTGGCACCTCGTAGCTTCTCAGGGTTCCACTCTTGCTCTGGGGTCGTAGAGCTACTGAACATGGTAAGACATTGTACATGCCATCCACTCCCAGCCGATAGCCTGCTCCCGATGAGAGCGATCGGCAGCGTGAGGACGCTTTATATATCCACGGTCAGCGATGCCGTAATCTTTATTTAACGACGCCGCCGAGAATCGCATTCTTCTTTCGGCGTGCTGCAATTGACCTCGCACTCCAGCCGAAGGCTGTTGGCCGCTCGTGCGAGGGCTAACAGGCTGGCAGCTTCTGTTAATTTGATGATCGACCGTTACTTACTTGCGCACTCTTGCCGCACGGCGCGGCGTACGTCGTCGCTTGGACGAAAGCACCGAGAAGCGCGCACTCCTGTATTTTCCACTCGCACCATTTGCTTCACGCCTGTGCTGAGCGCTATGATGTACGCGCGTGGCATACCCAAGTTTTTTCGCACATCGCACCGTGGAGTCCTCGTACTCTCGCAGTGATTAGCCAAACCGCCATCCGCCATGTTCACAGCTGCTGATTTCCTAGTGGCTCACGTCCTCTTCGATTAGTAATAGGGGTTCGAGGAGTTTCAAAGGAGAGACGGTGGCCGAAACGCGCCGCAGTAGAGTCACGAGTCGAATGCGACGGTGATTGAGCCATGCGAGTGAAATGCAAGTGGTGCTTTTGTGCTTGTTGCTTCATGTGCCAATCCCTCACTCATCACCGAACATATTATTCAGTTTGATTGAGACAAGCTGGTTTCCAACAAAATTACACATGACTTGGCATTTCAGACACAAAATAATAGCGCCAACTAAATAGAAATTTTTTTGCATGATATGAAATTTTGATTGGATGCCACTGTATGGCCACGTCACTGCAGACGAGGCATTTATTTTCTTTAAACGCTTCATAATGTTTTATAATAAAGCAAGGCATTCCCGTACAGTGTTACGAAAAAAATCGAAGAAAGCCCGTAAGCCTTGGATGACGTCCCACATCTTTAAAAGGATTTTCAAGAAAAACAACTTATATCAGTCGTTTTTACAGAGTCGCGAACATTACGATTTTGTCACTTTAAAAAAATTGCAATAGTTTGAATAGAAGAATCAAAAATCTAAAAAAAAAAGAATTACAATCGCTTATTTTCAGGCATTAGTGATCAAAAGGTTCTCTGGATTAGGTTAAACATGTTGCTAACATCTGAACGAACGTGCTCACATGTTCCTTTTACAATTGATGGTATCAGCTACGCTGGGAGAAACTTAGCTGACAAGTTCAATGACTACTTTACATCCCTGGTTAAAAGTGAGCATAATCCTAGCACACACGATTACGTGAAAAGCCATGCACAAGACGCCATGGCACTTATCGAGTGCAATAGCGATATACTATTTGCCGCTTTCAGACGTATGAAAATCAGCAAATGTTCAGAAGCTTTTGGTCTAACAATGAGATCTGTGTTACATGTGCTTGATGTCATTTGTCCCTTTCTAACTCGCATTTATAACTTGTCCCTAAGTACTGGTACATTTTCATTCAGAAATGAAAAAGGTGAACGTGATTGTTCTCCATAAGGGAGGTGCTAAAAAATCCTCGGTAAATGTAGGCCCATATCGTTCCTACCAATTTTTTACAAGGAATAAAAGCGAGTTATCTATGTGCGTATTACAGATTTTTTACCGAAAAATACGGGCTAATAACCAGTACACAGTTTGGTTTCGGGGAAGATCATCTATGGAAGTCGCATTGCTCAAACAGCGAGAGCTTATTCTTCATATTATAGAAATGAAAGTAATGAATATAGAAATATTTATGAATTTTCCAAAAGCGTTTGATAGAAATAATCATCAATAACCTTTCTTTTAAAACTTCCAGATTGTGGCCGAGGAATTTCATTATATTCAATATCGAGTTATTTGCATAATCGCTCTCAGTATGCGGCTTTCCATAACCAACACTCGTCCTGTAATAAAGTAGAACAGGTTGTTCCTCAGGGTAGCCTGCTTGGTCCATTGCTGTTCATTATTTATAATAATGATTGGATCGAACTAGACACTGGTGTCCAATATATTATATATGCATATGACACAACCTTATTCTAAGTGGGTCCGAATAAATATCATTTAGAAAGTGGACCAATATTGTCCTAAATGAGTTACATACCTGGTCTCTTAAAAATTTCCTTCTTATTTACTCCAAGCAAAATAAAGCACCATTTTTCAGAGAAAAAAATCAAGCTGTTTTCCTCGAGCCACCCTTACCTTATTAGGGAATGTCATAGAAATTACTAACACCATTAGAACGCTTGGAGTCTACTTTATTGAATTCATGCTCTGGGATAGTCCCATAGAACCTCTTTGAAGTGAGCTTGCACGTGTAGTTGGTGTTTGAAGAATATTCCAACATCTATTGCTTGAAAAGGCAAAGCTTCCGTTGTACCACGCCCTGTTTGAATCACTGTTAAAATACTGCGTATTGGTATGGGGAAGTTCAACAAAAACAAATAAAAATAAACTAATCTCAATGCAGAAAAAATGCGCTAAGAGCGATTGCTGACGTGCCCTAAAGAACGAATTCTGAACCACTGTTTACCACCTACAGTATCATGCACTTAACCAACATGTACCGTCATTGTCTTTTACAGCTCTACAAATTGATTGAACACTGCATAATGTTCTTATGTGAAGTCGCTAACCTCCACACCCACATTCTCTGCTACCTTTGTACAAGGCATCACGAGTATTGGTCTGTGCCTCACTAACGGACTAACTACGGCGTTCAAACCTTAAGCTATACATTGCCTGCTTTGCTTGACAAGTTTGGCTTTTCTCACAGCTCGATACGCGAAATTTCCTTGAACTATCTTCGAAACCTATTTCGTTGATGTGTGCATTTCCCCACCACTTCAAATATATTTTGTGTACGCAACTTTATTTGAATATATCTGGAGATATGTTTTTGCAGTATTGCCCATTTTATTGTACACCGATTATTTATGCTTTTGAGTTCTTGTTTATTATGCTACACATTAGCCTTTGCTATTTCTGTTTTCGTGCATACCGCAGTTCCGATGTATCTGGGAGGAAGAGAGCAACGTCAAGCCAGGACTGTGTGGCTTTTTTTCCCTCTTCCTCAGTCATGTATTTTTATGCATGTCTGAAATAAAGACTCAGACTCACACTCAGACTCCGGATATCTCTTGGTTTGTGACAACAGGCCTGTGTGACGACCACATACATTTCACGGATGCCTGCGTTATGTATAAAACAAGGTCTTGCTCCTTCATATTTGCAGAAGAGTTCTTGGAGGAAATACGCCGTTGACAACCATCAGGGTCACATGAAAAAAAAAGGTAGCATAAGGAAAAAGAAAGTGTTATAAAGAAAAAAAAAAAGATACTAGGTTGTTTGGCTTAACGCGATAAATTTATGTGATATGTTTATGAAGCACACCGAAGCGAGGCAGCCTGCATTAATTTTAGCCATCAAAGGATTATTATATACTCTGCTGCTATATCAAAGTATACATTCATTCTTGCACTTCGCCAAATTTTAAGCGTGGCGCATTCCAACCGTGTATGGAGCCCGTGAGCACTGATTACGTTCGACGGGGCGATGTAGCAATGAAGCCTTTGAAGCGGGTGCCCGTATCGTATCGATGTGTGCTTTACCACCAGAAAAAAATTGTATTGGTAAGGGCTCTTTAATTACTTAAGAAAAACAAACATAACAAAGTGGACGTACCTCTGAGCTCTCTGAAGAGATTAAATATGTTTGCGCTTCTATAGTTTCCCTCCGTTCATCATATTTACTTGCACCCACAGTTGCAGCTTGACGGCCATGGTGCTGCGTTGTTGAGCACGAGGTTCAAATTCGGGCTGCTGAGGCCGTATTTACACAAGGGGAAAATTTAAAAGAAAGAGAAAAAAGGAAGAAAAGAAGAACACCAGGCGCACCTTTACTGCACATGAAGTGCGCGTGGAAGCACCCCATATGGTCGAAATTAGTGCAGGGTATGACATATTTTGTGCCTCGTTTTTTATCCTGGTTGTGGAGCCTAAAACAGATGCACAGGAAATCGACGTAGACAACACATTCAAGCATGCGTTATATTTAACGAGCGTGACGTTGGGCAGGAATGTCCAGAAAAGACAATTCTTTATCAACGAGGTGTACTGACTGGACAGCTGGCTTAGGCAAATAGTTCCTTGTTTCGGGAGCTTTTCCTGTCTACGTCTCTTTCCGTTGCGTCTTATTTGTTATGAGCTACTGATTCCAACTCGTGCATCCTTAATTACCAGCCCAACTTGCCGCACTTGTAAGTTTACTGAGGCTTACTTGTGATACCTTTGCGTTGCGTGACTCTGTTGGACAGAACCTTCTTACTGCTGCCTCTGGCGAGGGGGAAGTTAAGTATGAGGAGATGGCCTGTGACGACCGCACAGTAACGACGATGACTTAATGGTACTACTGTCGCCGTGTTGAAGGTAACGGGGTGATGGTCGGGCAGGCTGGCGGTCAAAGCAAACCATCTTTCGAAAGCAAGCGGCAGAAAGACGACTCAATAGACGTATGAGTTCATGGCAGTGAATGACAGGTGTGTCATAAGGGACACAAGTACGCGTAAAAAGTCGACCCGCTTATTTTAGACGTGTGTAGCTGTTCAACGAAAAGCATTCGCGTTGCCTTTTTGCAGGAATTTATAAATGGCCGCCAGGAACGAGTGCCTCGGTTTTATTACTACAAGAACTTCATTTAAGGTGACATTTATTCTCAAAAGTATTTTTTTTTTTGCTGTGAGCTGAGCTTTTGAGATTGGAAACACGATTCCCGGTAAACCAGAGGCCGTGCAGAGCGCGGCAAAAGAAGATAAGTGAGTCTTCTGCAGTTTTGACCTCTCATCGTAAACATAAACATATCAGTGCATCATTGTAGCCATTTTAGCTAATATTTTTTTGATTTTTTTATATTATTTAACAGCACAAATGTTTGAGCCGGTCGTAATTTGCCCTATGCGAACAAGAAACCTTGGGTAGGTATCCATCACAGCAATTTAGCAATGCCGGCTACCGAGTACAGCAGATGCGAGTATTACTAAAAAATGAATGCGGCAGAAAAGAGAGAAGGAAAGAAATATAGAAACAAATATCAAGAGAAAATGGAGTGATAGAAAGAAAGTGATATAAAGGAAGAGATGGTGAAAATAAAGCCAGAGATAGAGTAGACAAAAACCAGAAAAAAAGAGAATTAAGGTACAAAAAGAGGAAGACATGCGACAGCAACAGATACGAAGAGGAAAAAGACTTAAAGGACCCCTGACACCAATCAACAAACCAAATTTGGAAACTCGAGATGCTCGTGCTGTTTGATAGTCGTGCACGCGGGGCCATCTGTGACCGATTATTAGTGGCGAGCGTAGCCTAGAAGATATTTTATTTTGGTTTTAAAGTAGGGTTGCGTCATTTCAAGAGTATTCACGTACAGTAGACATTTTCTGTCGTTTGACGTAGACCGGGACTCCTCTTTTGACGTTGCAGGGTCAACATTTGCGGGGCGTGCATTACCCCGACTGGCACCAGGCGAGAACTATTGTTCGTTCCCCATCTCGCTCTGTTGTCGGGCTTCTCTCAATGTGGTTTTGGCTGCTTGCGCCAGGAATGATCTTGAAGTAGGGAGAATCTTACGTCTTGGCTAGCCCTTAGGTTTCGTCGGAACGATTCTGTTGTAGTTACCGGGAGAACTAAGATCCCTACAATCGTTGCACAGCCTCTGTTCGCGAAAAGGGCGCGCTTTTCAGACACACCGAAGTAACATCTGAGACGCCTACTCGCGTTCATCTGTATCTGTGAGTACGTTTCATGCGTAATTTGTGCGTGAGAAACACGGAGCACGTTTAGATCTGCTTGCCATTCTGCGCGTGACCTTCCAATTTGTTGCTATCACGTTCATTGCTTCGCCTTTGCGGCAAAGCTGTGAATTGTTTTCTGATGGGAAGACGCTAAAAGCACCCACATAGTTTCCTCCTTCACCGCGCACAGATCTCAGGCACTGCTACGTAGTAGGGCGCTAGTTCTTTAGGGTATTGACGCGGGCGTTTTGAACTCACGCAAACTTGTTTTGAATTAACGTCGCTAGCAATTATATACAATGCATTAGAGCATCTATGATATAATTTTGGCCTTATCAGACGCAAATCTACAAATTACTGCAAAAAACTGGCAATCAAAACTTTCCTTGTCAGGGGCTCTTTAAGGAAGAGAAGACATAATAGGATGAATGTATATGACAGAGGAAGACGGACAGAGAGAAAGAAAGAATTACACAGGAACAGTCACAAAAAGAGGTGCAGAAAATATAGAGCAAGACCGAAAGAGTCATGAAAATAAAAAAATCGAAAAAAAGATTCAAAGAGAGATAGAATAAACAAAGTGAATGTGAAAGAAAGGGATGAAGAATGAAGCCGAAAAGAAAGAAAGAAGAAAGTCCATGCAGCTCTGCTCTTTCAGGCTTGTAACCACTAGTGCAAGCTGCCATATACCTTTCTTTGTGTGTGTGGGGCCTTTCCAGAAACTAGAACTAAGATTGTCCTGCGCGTTTCGAGTGGCCTAAGTAAATTATCCTTAACCCTGATAACAAAGTACTATTGAGCGTAGTTTCCTAATGGTATTCAATGTGATAGAGGTGGCCACAACATTATAAGTTTGGCCACAGAAAAAGATGGCTATGGCTTCATGAAGCATAGCCGCATAGCCGTGTGCCTTCGATTATGCGAACGGTTTCTGGATGGTAATGAGCGCAACTCCTACTTAGGCACGTGAGAGGGAAAAAAATGAAAGTAATAAAAGCAACACGAGAGAACCCGTCAAGACTGAGTTGAGTCTGCGCTTTTAACGAAGCAAGATGCAAGCAAGTTGATCGACGGTGGAGGAGGATTAATTATCAGCGACACAGGATGTTTTCTACGAAGGTCCGTGTCTTATCCTCCCCTCGAGGCCCTCTCTGTCACCCCTTCGCGCTCGTCTAAAGCCTCGGTGCGTTGCCAAAGCGATGTCAAGCGAGCCCAGCTAGGTGTGGTCTACACGGGCCCGACGTGCCTGTGTGCTCGCTAATAGGAAGAGCTCTCGCTCAGAGTGAAGCGTCGTCGTTGTTGTCGTCGCTTCCGCAGGGCCATGGTCGTCAATTCCGGACAGATAGGACGTACGCCGTTTCTTTAGGCTCGCATGTGACCTGGCCTGCCCGGGGCACCCCCCTTACGCGTGCGATTACTTCCGGGATAGTAAACCACAGAGCCCCACGGAGACGGTGCAGGCGTATTCGCACCACGAGCCCACTTGGCAGGTAACTGACGACGATGCTGTAACATTTGCTTAACCATTTTCATTTTTTGTGGCCAAGACCGAGTGGCTACGACGATAACTGCTGGCCGCTGCCTCACGCGAGGCTCATCGCAGTATTCTGCCGTGACAGCAGTTGGGCGTGTAGCACCGATCGCCGTATTAGGTGCTATCCCCGTTACGCCCCAGTGACTCACCACATTAATGCGGGCATCAGTCATGTACGCCTGTGATCGGACGAGCGAGACACTTGGGGCAAAATAATGCTCCCTTGAGGGTGCTTGGTATTTACAATATACCTTCTATCTCTTTCATTGTCGTCTCCTATTATGCGTTTAATTACTTTTTTTCACGCAAACTATGCGTAGGCACCTTTAAATTATTCTTACGAAGCAGCTTTCTCACTAGACTGGCTGCGTTTCTTGACCACCCTTTTTCCCTTCGAGGCATGTCTATCTTTCAGAATATTGGTATTGTATACGCTAAGTAAGGCACCGCCCGATTTGTTTACGTAAATTGCATATTTTTGTTCTCCTCTGGGCTGATGTATATTACATTCATATATAATAAAACATGTAAGGTATTATGGTTTCAGTATTCACATATTTTTTTTATTTCGTGCAAAATTTATAAAATGCTCTATGCCTAACCAAGCGCTCTTGATTCTTGTGTTTTAGAATCCCTTATACTTTAAAAATATTATTACGCACATAATTCTTCTGCATTGCACGCGACGACAAACTAAAGGAGCCCGCTCGAGCTTCTTTTTTATGTCCCACTCTACTGCTAATCAATAATAATATCTTGCGATATGTAGCAGAACCAGCTTATCATTATAAGTCATGCCGTA